ACAGACCAAAGGCCACCCGCCTCCCTGGGCAGCCACAGTAAAACAAATCCCTCCATTCCATTCCCATGGCAACCACAGCACCCCCCTATCCCATTCCAATAGTAAGTGCAGCATTCCTCCCATCCCCTCCACCCTGTATTCCATTCCCAAGACAACTGCAGCACCCTGTTCCCACAGCAGGGGACACATTTGGGGTGCCGGTGCCACTCTGGTTTCAGTAGCTCCCCATGGGACTGGGAGCACTCAGGGCTGTGGACACCCTCTGTACAGTGCTGTGTGTGGGGGGTGTGCTCGTGCAAGGGGGGTGCCCTGGGCTGGGTGTGCAGCATGTGGGATGCATGGGCAGGGGCATGGGGTGCAACATGGAGAGCTGCGTGTGCTGGGCAGGGCTGGGGGCAGGGGATGGTGTGTGGGGCTGCAGGGAGGAGGGCTGGGTGTGCAAGGGGTAATGTGTAGGGATGGATGTATATGGGGTGCAGCATACAGGGCTGAGCATGCAAGCTAGAGCTTACGGGGTGCAGTGTGCCAGGTTGGGTGTGGGGGCACAGTGTATGGGGCAGGATGGGGGAGTATACAGTGTGTGGGGACAGGGGAACAGGGCTTAGTTAATGGGGTGGTGGGGTGGGGTGGGCTGGGTGTGTGTGGACATGCACAAAAGCCCCAGGTTCCCAGGGTGCCCTGCATCCCTCACCTCTATGGAGCAGTTGCAGTCGGGGTAGCAGAGGAAGAGAGGCTGAGTGTGATGGTGGCACCCAGCTGGGCAGCGCCCTCTCACTGTGCTGCAGAGCTTCAGCCTCTTCTCTCGGGCCATTGCTGCAGGAGACGTGAGGGGAGAGTGTCCCCTCCAGCCTCGCCCCGCCATGGAGCAGCCCCTGCCCCCCTCTCACCCCACCTAGCTGGAGGAGCTCCACGTTGTCTGCGCTGAGCAGGACCAGGCTGGCGAGCACCAGGAAGAAGACGATGGTGGCGACGCTGGGGACCAGCAGGGTGCTGTGTAGAGCCAGCCAGCTGAACCTGCGGCGGGGGGGGGGGGGGCGGGGTCAGGCCCTGGGGCTGCCGTGGCTGAGGTGGAGAGCAGGCAGAGAGCCTTGGGATCCTCAGTCCCCGGGGCTGCTGAAGGGGGGTGGTGGGGAAGAGGACGCAGATCCAGGCTGTTAGAGCTGATGCCTGGCTGCAACATCCCCAGAGCACTGGTGTGGAACAGCAGCGCTGCTGCCCCACGTTCCTGGGATGGGGCTCAGCCCATGGCTGTGGGGAGACTTACAGGAAGAAGATGAAGATGACCAGTGAGCTCAGGTAGATGATGTTGCTGAAACAAAGGAGGATGTGAAGCTCCATGATGGGCTGGGCAGCTGCAGGTCTCAGGCTTCACAGGACAGATGGCATCCGGCTCCCATGGCAGCCACAGGAAAACAAATCACTCCATTCCATTCCCATGGCAACCACAGCACCCCCCTATCCCATTCCAATAGTAAGTGCAGCATTCCTCCCATCCCCTCCACCCTGTATTCCATTCCCAAGACAACTGCAGCACCCTGTTCCCACAGCAGGGGACACATTTGGGGTGCCGGTGCCTCTCTGGTTTCAGCGGGAGCCCACTGCCAAGGAAAGGATGGGGGGGCTGAAGGTCTCACGGGACCCAATACAAACCAGTGCTCATTTTCCTTGGGGTGCTGGGAAGACGCCAGCAGGCATCTGGGACCCATGAGGATGGTGGGATACATCTAGGGCAGGGATGCACTGGTCGCTGTGACCAATGTCCTGCACTCAGTGCGACCGCTCCAGCCCGGCATCCTCCTGCCCAAGCCTGGGGTCTGCTTCTGTCCCAGGGAGCCGGGAACTGCTCTGGGCGCTGAGCATCGGGCCAGCCCTGCCCTCTAGTGTCGCGGGAGCCCCTCTCAGCAGGGCTGAGCCACCTGCCGAGCCGTGCGGGGTCTGGCGGGCTCCGCCGAGCCCCC